AGCTGTTAGTATTAGCATGAAAGCCCATCGTGGGCTCCCTGCATTCTGGCACACAACGTTCTTCCAGTTCACCTTTTCAAAAATTCCTCGCAGTCTATGGTATATTGCTTTGATACTGCAGTTCTTTGTTCTCTTTACATCATCATAGTTGAATCCTGCTATCTCAAGAGTGTCCTTTGCCTTTAGTATTTTCCCCACGATCCAAGAAGCTTGTTTCACCTGTAATCCCCATATTCCCCTGCCTTTGACATAGTAGCTATGGATCCACTGGATCCACAGCTTATTCTTCTCTCTGCATAAATCCCAGTAGTGCTTGCATATTTCTGCCTTGTTCCATAATGCTATGTGCATGATGTTGAAACCTCCTACTGTCCTGGGCATGCATACCTTTTCCTATGCTAAGAGTGCTTTTTTTGAGACATTCTCTCACCTGTCCATAAAAAGCTCCTGCAAATGGACTCTATTAGCTTTGTAATCTTCTTGGGCATCACAAAAATTTGTGCCCAGTATGTCTACACTGCAAATAGTACACTTTTTATAAGTTGTACTCTTCCTGCATAGGACTGGAATCTGGTAGTCCAAGAAGTTATTCTTCCTACAATCTTCTCAATCAAGGGTTGGCATTGTGCAACTGATATTCTCTTTGTGCTTAGTGGGACTCCAAGGTATCTCACAGGCAGTTCTCCCTTTTGTATCCCCAGGAAGCTTAGCATCTCTTCTTGATTTCCTTGTGTGATTCCTCCACAGAATAAAGAGCTTTTGTTCTTGTTAATTTTCAATCCTGATGCTTTCGAAAACTCTTGAAAGCCATTGAATATAAGCTGTACTGACTTCAAGTCTCCCCTGCAAAAAAGTAAGAGATCATCAGCAAACCCAAGTTGCAAGATTTGCATCTTTGCACACTTGGGGTGGTAGTTAAAATCTGGGTCTCTATTGAGCATTTTCAGCCTCCTTGTCAAGTATTCCATTGCAAGCACAAATAAATAAGGGGATAGGGGATCCCCTTGTCTTAATCCTCTTTGTGCTTCAAAGGGTCTAGTTTGAACACCATTGATCAGTATTGTATATGAGACTGTCCTTATACACTCCATTATCCATCTAACAAATTGACCTGGGAAAGCTAGAGCATGCATCATTTGTTCCATAAAGTCCCACTCTATTGAATCATATGCTTTCTGCATGTCAAGTTTCATCATACACCTAGGAGATACACCTTTCCTCCCATATCCTTTAACTAACTCATGGCTCAGTATGATGTTATCAGTTATAGCTCTTCCTGGCACAAATGCAGCTTGAGAGATATCAACCAAATCATCCATAACACACTACAGTCTTCTAGTTAGAACCTTGGAGATTACTTTGTAGATCACTGTGCAGCAAGAGATGAGCCTGAATTCTTTTATACTTGTTGGATTCTTGACTTTAGGTATCAGAGTTATAGCTGTGCAATTTACTGGTTTATACATCTGTGCAGACTCAAAGAACTCCTCCACTGCCTTTGTCACCTCTTCACCTATACAGCCCCATGCTTTCTTGAAAAACACTGCATTGAAACCATCATATCCTGGAGCCTTAAGATCATTAATATCATTCAATGCCTCTCCTATTTCTTCTTTAGTAATTTGTCTGATCAGGTACAGTTGTTGGTCTCTACTCAAGGTAGTTCCCATTTTGATTATGTTAGGATTTATAGCTGGAATGGAGTCATCTTTTGCACCTAAGAGGTTCCTGTAGTAGCCAAGGACTTCTGCTTCTATTTCATCATCTAGTACCAACTGCTTTCCTATATCATCTAGCAGCATTTGAATTCCATTTGTACTGTTTCTATGCTTCATCTGTGCAAAGAAGTATCCTGAATTAGAATCTCCCAGTTTCAGCCATTGCACCCTTGATTTTTGTTTATAGACACTCTCTTCAATATTCACCCATTTTTCTAGTTCCTGCTTCAATATCCTCTCTTTCTCAATTAGCACAGTGTCATGCCTTCTATTACCCATGTCTTCTTGTATTGTTTGCAACTCTACCCTTGCCTCTTTAATTTTCCCATCCAGCCCTTTGTAATGTTGTGTATTTAATTCCTTGATAAGCTCCTTAGTTCTTTTTAGCTTCTGCCACACTATTTCCATTTTTCCAGTTTCCTTTCCCTCCTTCCAAGCTCTTTCAACCAGTTGGATAAATTGAGGATGATCATCAATGCAATTCAAAAATCTAAATGGTCTGTATTTCTTTGTATGCCCCTGTGTGATCATCAGTTTTAAAGGAGAATGGTCAGATATCAGTGGCTCTAATACCTGAATTTTCAAGCTAGGCATTGTCATCATCCACTCAGTGTTCACCAACCCCCTATCTATCCTACTATATGTATGATTATTGGTCCATGTATAATCCCTTCCCACTGATGGTAATGCATTCATGCCTGTGTCCATCATGTACTCCTTGAAATCTTTCATTTCCATGTCCTGCACTTCTGATCCATGCTGTCTATCTATTGTATGAAGTACTGCATTAAAATCTCCCATTGCCAACCAGGGACCCTGTTGTATGCTATTTATTTGCCTCAGTTTAGCCCACAGAGGTTTCCTGTCTTTGATAGTATGCAACCCATAAACTGTGGTGAAACCAAAGTTAACTGGCTTTGACTTCATTCTAACCTGCCCATGAATAAATTGTTCATCCATTTCCTTTGGATCAAAGATATAAACTCTAGGATCCCATATTACCCATATTCTTCCTTTTTATCCTGTTCTAGCATTAGATACCCATTCCCATCTTGGAGCTATCTTCCTGACTATATCAATGGCTTTCAACTCCTTAACTCTGTGTTCTACTATAGCTATTATAGCTTTATTATTTATTCTAACAAACTCCTTAACTTCTTTTTGCTTATATGTTTTATTCATCCCTCTAGCTTTCCAAGTTACCACACTCATACTGGAATGAAATAAGGATAGTGAAAGTACCCCTACTCTCCTTGGCTACTGATCTGGCGGGTTCCTGCTGCTTCATTCCTATGATCATACATCAAGCTCTGAAAAGTATTAGCTTCGTCAATACTATGAATATCTTTCTGTTTTGCTGTAACTGTTCTTGCTGCAGATTTGCCTGCTACTGTTATCCATCCTACATCCTTGCTTTGCACTCCATCTCTTCCTTGTTCTGCCTCAGTCCTTGGTTGTTCTGACCTCTCTATTGTTTGGTCATTCTCCTTAATTTCATTACATTCTTCTTTATCTACTCTGACCCATGCCATTCTCCTTTTATTTGTCTTCTTCTGCTGTATTGGCTTCCTGTTTTCTGTGCATTCATGACCTATTTTCAAACATTTAATGCAGTATTTGGGTTCCCAGTCATACTCCACCACCTGCATCATCTCCTTCCCTTTAGGATCCTGCAGCTTTATCTGTCTTGGAAGTGGCTTTGTGATATCCATTTCAACTAGTAGTCTTGCATATGAAATTCTTACTGCTCCTGTCGTACACTCATCAGCGTAGATGGGGTTACCTAAAGCACTACCTATTTTGCTTAGTGCTGTCATACTCCATCAATTAACAGGTAGATTAGGCAATTTAACCCACAGTGGAATTGTCTTTAACACCTCATCATGAAGATTAAACTCCTCCAACCATGCCTTCATAATTATTGGTCGATTATTGATCGTATGTGGTCCTGAGTACAGTATTTGGTCCCTCTCCTCAGTACTACTGAACCGTATGATGAAATAATCTTCCTTATGGTAGTAGATCTGACGCTTCATTGAGTATTTCCCCAATGAATTCACAAATATGTCCATGGCTCCAATTGAAGGAGATTCACCTATTACATATATGACAATAGCATTCTTCCATTTTGCGGTTTCCTGCTCTACATCTTCTACTTCGAGCTTCACCATTTTCTCTCCATTTTGCACAATTGGGGCAATAAAATGCAGATTCATGCCTTTCATAGCCAACTTGTTCCCAACCACCACATTTGCCCATGTTTGTGCTCGAGATTCAATCTGCTTCCCCTCCTCTTTTGTTTTCTCTACAGTACTTGGAGTGCATGGTACTGTTCCATTAGTGTTCAAATTGCTCCCTTGACCTTTCTTCTTCGCCTCGTCTCCTTTAGCAGTTGTTGCCATTGGAGCTGGGGTACTCATCCCTTCCTTCATTTTCCCTTTGTTCCTAGCTAGATCTCCTGCGTCACTGCTTTCATCAGCTTGCATGTTCTTCGCATTTGATCTTCCATCTGGTTCTTCGATTCGTATCCCTTTTGGGGATACAAAGAGCTCTAATACAGCATTCCTAGTAGCTGAGGAACGCTGCTCATCCATTGCAGTCTTCTGCTGGTTTCGTTTAGCTCTTCCCCTCCCTTCCATGGCTTCCGGCGCAGGTTAGCTGGCCGCGTTAACGTGCGCCGAGAGGATTAGTTAGAGAGAGAAATTTTATTGTTCCTTGATGGTCCACTCTGATTCTTAACAAGAAATTTTAATTTTACTGAACTGATTGGATAATCATAATTAGATAGACAAGAAGGATTAATCTTCACAAAAAGAGAGAAAGAAAACTTTTTAGTCATCTATTGAACAAAAAGGAATATTTTGATTTTTTTTCTTAATTTTTTTTTTCCTACGTCTTTGTCAAAATCTTCGGATTAGAGGACAAATTTATACCAATTGTTGTATTTGCATCATAACAAATATGGTTATTTGTTTGTCAATAGCATCAAGTGGCTGTAGTTTAGTGGTGAGAATTCCACGTTGTGGCCGTGGAGACCTGGGCTCGAATCCCAGCAGCCACATTTATTAATTGTTTTTTCGACTTAAAACGTAATCAGATCGGATTTGATTATGTTTACCCGTCTTTAACTTGAGTAAATCACATTAGTGTCCCTAACCCCAAAAACGTACTTTCTCTCTTTGTTTTTTATACCTTTTCTGTCCCATCAGTTTGACAAACCAAGCGGACCGAACAGATCTCATTCGACGTCTTATTCAAACAAAGGTACAGATCTCCATCTGATTAATTTTTACACACACACACACACTTGTTTGATGTTTACACATCTATGACTGTATTCATGTGAATATATACAGATCTGAATTTTGTTTGATCTTTCTGGTGTCGTTTTTCCATTCATTTTGATTTTGTTTGTTTCTTCAAAAATATGGGGTTTTGATCGGTGAAAGTGGTACCCGTTTCTGATCTTCCTTTGTCCCTTTCGATGATAGTAGAAATGCTGTACATAAATAAATGAAGGAAATTGGAGAAGAAGGTAACAATGTGATCACATAGCGGAGTGGATATCGCGTTAGACTCCGAATCTAAAGGTCGTGGGTTCGAATCCCACTGTGATCACTACTTATATTTTTGCACCTCTTTTTTTGGTTTCATATTTTGTGTTTGTAGTTTGTACTTTGGATTTGGTAATTGCTTCAAATGGAAGTTTTATTTGTTTCTATTGGGATATAAGCCTGAGGTGACCAAGAATCCGAGCAGAAACAAAAAAACACTAGTCGATTTCTTCGCATATGTTACCCAATTCCTGCTGGTGGGAGGTAGCAGGTATTGGTGGAGTAGCCGAGGGGCGCACAAGCTTGCTCTGACATCACTATTGTCCAAAAAAAAAAGAGCTTGAGGTGATCGCTTTGGGAGGCGTTAATATCTGCCTCCACTGCATATGCTTAATAGTTATGAACTTGGTGTAACTGCTAAGTAATTTTGTTTTCATTGGCCAATTTACATTTTACTGGACTGGGCAAATTATGCCACCAAAGATATTTCTATTGGATATGCAGGCTGGTTTTCACTTGTTTGATGGTTTTACAACAACAACAATATATCCAGTATAATCCCGCGGGATTTAGGGAGGGTAGTGTGCACACAGACCTTATTCCTATCTTGTGGAGGTAGAGCACTGTTTCCGAGGACGATTGATGGTTTTATTCCTATAAACTTTTGCCTTGGCACAAGAGATGGTTGTGGAGTTGATATGAGTTTAATTTTTCATTTTTTTCATTGCATTGGTTTTGGGAGTTTGTTTAGCAAAAGTCTCCCTTTACCAATCTAGGGGAAGTACTTGAACGTCTCAAGGGTATTAGTTTAGCAATTGAAAGAAGAAGAACTGCACCTTAAAATTTTATAGTAAGCATAGATTTGTATGGGTGTTTACCATGATGTTAGGTTTGATTTAAGCATTCTTTATAAAAATATAGGTTGTAACAGTTTGGCTAACTGGGGAGATGCATTCGCCATTAGGTACATTGAGACACAGAATTTTAAGGTATCGAAGTGGTTTTAAATTGTCAACAAGTGTAAGGAGCGCTTGTAGAGCTTTAGTCTTTTGAGCTAAACAAGTGAATCCTGTCCTCATGATAGGCTATGTTGCTCGGACTCTCCGAAAATGTGGTCGGATACGTGTCGGATCCTCCAAAAGTAGTGCATTTTCAAAGGATCCGACACGGGTGCGGCTACATTTTGGAGAGTCCGCGCAACATAGATGATAGGTACCTAACTTGGCCAATGGAGCTTTGCTCTAGTGGTAAAGAGAAAGTCCGCTACCTTGAGGTTGTGGTTCTTAATTATTGAAAAAAGAGGTAGTTCATAACTCTTTTGCGGAAATGGATAACTCTAAATTGTCATTGATCATTGGTGTGTAATGTGTAACTAAAGGAATAGGAAGAACTTCACCTTAATATTTTTAGTAAGTACAGATTTCGATGGGCGTTCACCGTGACGTTAGGTTCGCGAATTTAATTTAAGCATTCTCTATAGAAGTGTTAGCATTTGGGTAGGCTGTCTACATCACATCCCGGACCCTGCGTGAATGCGGGATGCTTTATGCACTGAGCTGCCTTTGTTTCCCCCCCTTAGAAGTCTTAGGTTGCGGCAGTTGGATTGATGCCTGACTGTGGTAGATTATTAGGTTTGTCGAGACACAGAATTTTAAGGTATCGAAGTGGTTTAGATTGTTGAGATGTGTAAGGGAGCGGTTGTAGAGCTTTGGAGTTTTAAACAAGTGAATGCTGTGCATATAGGTATCTAACGTGGTCAGTGAGGCTTTGCTCTAGTGCTAAGAGGAGGACCAGTACCTTGGAGACTTGGAGTTGTGTTTCTTAATTCTTTTTAAAAAGGAAAGGTAGTATCATAAGTTCATAACTCATTCAAGAAATTGGATAACTCTAAAATTGTCATTGATCAGTGAAGAGTAAAATAATTTGTTTTTGTTATTCTGTGGTAGTCAGTAACTTGTACTCTCATCAGCGCATTGAATATGCATAGAGAGAGCAATGAGATCACTGCCCAAGTCAAGGGTAAGTTTAAAAGAGAATATGCACAAAAGAGACATGACCCCAGAAAACAATGAAAGTAGGGCGTAACACAAATCAATTGAACTGATTTTCAAACAAATAAGATAAATAACTATCTAGCATAGTGATCTTTGCTTGTTCAAATCCATTTTGCACTAAATAATAAGAAAGGTATTATTCCCCTAAGTGCTTGTCCTCAAAAGAGAAATAAAAAGATATAGTCAAGTTTGCATAGACAGGTGGAAATTCTTACTATTAGTTTTGTGCTATATCAATACTCTGGATCCAAAAAGAATTGAATGTTGATTGTTTCATGATAATATTTTAGTCACTTTACATGGTTAATATGAAAAGATGCAGAGACCGATGAAATGTAAAATGTTATTGCAGGAAATGAACTATTGTGTTTAGCACACTTGCTTTCTTATATGGACTTTCAAGTCAATTAGCATCTGTTAGTTCAGTATTATTCATTCTTGTGGTTTTGGAAGGAATTACGTCCCTTGTTTTATTTCTGATCTAGTTTCCGGAAGCCAGAGAAGGGGAGCCTTGGAGCAACGGTAAAGTTGTCTCCGTGTGACCTATAGGTTACGACTTCGAGCCATGGAAGCCGCCACTAATGCTTGCATTGGGTTTGACTGCCTACATCACACCCCTTGGGGTGCGGCCCTTTCCCAAACCCTGCATTAACGCGGGGTGCCTTGTCACAGGGCTGCCCTGCCCTTTCCGGAAGCCAGTCATTGCAAAGTTGTTGTAAATCTAATTTGTGTAACTCAATGTAATAGTTTTCATTTTGTCCTAACTGTTGGCGCTTCAATTTCCTCTTGCAGATAATGGATGATCAAGATTTGGGGTTCTTTGCTAACTTTGTTGGCATCTTTATTTTCGTATTTGTTATTGCTTATCATTATGTAGTGGCTGATCCTAAGTACTCAAGCAACTAACTGATGCCAAGCATACAGTTATTTTCCTGATCTCGTCGAGTCCGAGCTTTTACTTGCCTCTCCCAATTTGTGAATCTCACAGCACTTAGTCTTATGTAAATATGAAGACATTATGCTGATAGTTGAGTCTGGACCTAGAATGTTAAAGCTTGAAGATGCAAAATTATATTTAGAAGTTTTTACTTTGGGTCCCTAAGATCTAGAGGAAATGTGTTTAAACAGTGGAAGGGTAAAAGAAAAAGAGCAAGATTAACTTTGTTAAGGAACAGCTCTTCAATCCTTTGTATCCGAAAAGTAATATTTCTATTAATTGTTTTGTTTGATTGCCTACATTTCTTGTTTTGTATTGTTTAGGCCTTAAAAGAGGGGATACTCTTTAGAGAACAGCTTTTCTTCTTTAAACTATTGCTCGACTGTACTTTAGAGTTTGGTTCTCCTACATAGCAAAGCCTTTCCCTACCTAACAAATAGGGGTAGCAAATTGGCGGGTTGTGTCGGATATGAGCGGGTCAAAATGGGTAATACAAAAAGGATAAATTATCTGACCCGATCCATATTTAATAAGGGACCAGACCATTCAACTTTTCTCTTTTCTTTACTCATCGTTAGTACTCCTTCCGGTCCACAATAAGTGATCAATTTATCTTTTTATTTTGGTCCAAAATAAGTGTCCATTTATATAATCAAGAAAAATTCAATTTATTTTTCCAAAATTACTCTTATATACGTGTCGCTAAAAAGTCTTTTATTCCTCATATTAAATTATGATGCAGTGTTTAATTAAGGGTAGTTTATTCATACTAACTATTTTTATCTAGAATTTAATATTTCCTTAATGGGTGTGCCTAAGGCAAATTGGTCACTTATTGTGGACGGTAGGGAATAATTACCAACACTATCCGTACATCTTTTGTAAGAGTAGTGTCCGGGTTAGTTTGAGTATACTTCGATTATTCCATTGTATTTTTAATCAGGGTGGTCTATCCACTAAGATTTAGATAGGTAAGATGAAACCGCGTAGATTTTTTGTTTTTGCTCTTTTGGTATTTATAAACCAACGGATCATTAGGCCACATCCTTAAATGCCAACACTATTAAAAATTGTCTCCTATTACCATTACAAAAACGATACTCCTATAATAGTTTTCTTGAAAAGGAGAAAAGATTAAGTTCACATTTTACTCAAGATTAACAAGCAAATATCAGAGAATGTAAAGAGGAAAACTTAATTTTAAGAAATAAATTAATTTTACAATTTTCTTTAATTTTCTCCACCACCCCACCCTTGCAACCCCCTCTGTCTTACACATGAAATCGAGAGCCATTGATAATAAAACTTACAACCCGGAAACCCGACAAGAGAGAAGAAAAACCCAAGAACATAAACCCGGCGAATCCAAAGGCTATTGAGATATCAGATTGCACGCAGAATGCATTGTTGACCTTACACGTGTCCATATCCCTCAATGTCCGAGCCAACGATGTTCCGGCCGAATCCGCCGATAGTAATAGGTACGCAAACACCTACGCAAAAAATGATTGAAGACAACATTAGAGGTGTCAAATGCGCGAATTGAGTTGACCTGAATCGGTTCAAAATGACCGAGTTAATCGACCAAAAATTATTTGGATTGAAATAATTTCAAATTTCAATACTACTTTTTAACTTAAATTTTTTTTTTCAAAAATTACAATAGTCATGTTCAACCGCCTACTTAGTTCAAAGCAGTCCAACTTTTAAATGAAGTGAATTTGAACGGATTAAAAAGAAGTGACTTTACGAACCTGGTCGTGGCCGAAATCGAACCAAACTTGGAGCGCTTCAGGGAACACAGTGGCGCCTCTTGAAATCTCCCAAACGGATGCTCCTACTTCGAACAGTGAATATAATGCAACAATTCCACCGGCAACTGCCACAAACCTTTACATAAAATAAAAAGCTTTTACTAAAAGTTAAAAAAAAAAAATCCCAGCAAATTTGAATTCAAACGACGCCATTTTATCAGTATTTCAGCTCCAGAGTACTAAAATCGTCGCGCTTTATCAGTTTTTTTTTAGATTTATAATAATTTCAATTTGTCGTTCAATGGGGTGAAAAGAGTGTACTAAAAGCAAAACTGAAAGAAAAAATTGAAAACCAGCAAATTTGAGGTGAGGAGTACTAAACGACGCCATTTTATCAGTATTTCAAAAATTTCAGCTAAAATTCCATCAATATTCAGCTTCAGAGTACTAAAATCGCCGTGTTTTATCAGTTTTCTTTTTCCAAATTTATAATAATTTCAATTTGCCGTTCAACCGACTGAAAAGAGTTTATTAAAAGCAAAAAAATATATATTAAAATACCAGCAAATTTGAATAACGAAATACTGAAACGACGTCATTTTATCAGCATTTCAAAAATTTCAGCAAAAAATCCATCAAATTCCTACTCCGGAGTATTAAAAATTTTGCTTTTCTGTCCAATTTCAATTTCCGTTTAATCGAACGAAAAATGCATCAAATTTCAACACTGGCGACAAAAACGACGTCGTAGTATCAAAAGGCTTTTTAGTTACCTGAAGGCATCGAAGTGGTGCCACTGAGGAAAATCTGAGCCGCCGCGGCGAGAATTAGTAAACATGAAGATAGCAGAGGCAAGAGAGAAGCAGAAGGAAGCAAATCGGAAGACGATAATCAAAATGTTGAAACGCCGGAGCTTGTGTACGGATACGGTGGAGTGAAAGTGTGACGGCGACGGCGTATCAACGACGCCGTTTCGTACCTGAGGTGACCTCATCATCTTTTTTCTTTATCCTTTATCTTCTCTCTAGCCAGAGACAGCGAATTAACGGTGCATTGATAAATAACAGGAAGAAATGGGAAAGTTAGAAGCTTTTAGTGTTGTGTTTCAATGGAGGAGTAGGGTTTTGAGTTAGGAATTTGAAGTCACGGGAAATGAGATGATTCCCATGAAAGGATAGAAAGACAGAGAAAAAGAGAGGAATATGTCTGTAAAAAGATAGAAAGGAAATTGTAAGGAAGGTGACAAAAGGGATAACAGAACAAGAGGAATATTGCCTGTAAAAATTTCACTTTAATTATGAGGGCTGCTTTGGTAGGAGGAATACGGGATAATTAATTCCGAAATTAAATTTGATATGAGCTTATTTCATATTTGGTTTGGATAAAATAGTGGTATTATTAATTCCGGATTAACTATCCTGGAATTGTAGTATTTTTTTATCCCTATTAGAATTCCAGGATAACTAATTTCGGGATAACTTAATCCCCAACCAAGCGAACCCTTAATTCTGTGATGCACAAGGTAAAATCTCAATAGGATAACTTCCCTAATCGTTGTAACCAAACGACCCCTTTATATTAAATTACATTATTCGATGTAAAACTTAGATGCATTATTCGTTACCTTTTACTAATTCGGTAACTGATGGGTTAGCTAATTATGTCTTTAGACAAGAGTCTCGTTTTAAATGACATGCACTTCTAGCTTATACTATGTCTTCGCATGGTGCGAGAAATGTTGTTGGAGTTTCACTCACTTAATTGTTAGCTAGTCTTTTTGTTGCTTTGACTCTCTTCCCCCCAAAAAAAAACTTATGGAATATTACCATTAATTATGTGTTGTTTGTTTTTTCAATAAGATATATTATATTGACTTCGTATTTAGTATTTTCACTGATGATTTACTCGTATTAATGTATACATGCACATAACCAAATTTTATGAAATATTAGTAGAATAAGAGCGGCTTGGTTTGCTTTGCAGTAAGGGTGGCAAACGGTCCGGGCCGGGTCCTAAACGGGTCCCGCGGGGCGGGCTTAAACGCTCCGGTTCTAAGTGGGCCCGGGCTTAAACGGACCCGGGCTTCATGGGCTGTGTAACCAGACCGGGACCGTGTACTAATGATCCCGGGCTATGTGGGCCGGGTTCGGTCCTAAACGGGCCTAAGTGGGCCTTGACTTTTTTTAAATTTTTTTTTATCTAAGGTAATTTCTTTTAAATTATATAGCTTATATATACTATATATACATTGCTTAAATATGTGTGTGTGTGTGTATATATATATATATATATATATATATATATATATATATATATATATATATATATGTGGGCCTAAGTGGGCCTATTTATTTTTGGGGCTATTTATTTGTTTAAGTTTTTTATCTAAGGCATCTTGTAAATTATATCATATAATTGTGACTTAAAATGTTTTAATTCAAATTTAAACACAAATTATTCTAAAAAGATATTCAAAGGAATGCGTTATAATTTTTATTTTTATAACATTAAGAAAATATGGCCCAATCTTTCTTAGCTCCC